GATACTAACGTCTAGTTTATTTTAAGATAATACCTATTGATACGGGTTGTCTCAAATTCAAGTCGCAGACCAAACTTACCTTTTTTAAATGGAAGGCCGTACTTTTTATTGCATATTCGAACTATTCGCACAATTCTAGGTCTACTCGATATAAATGTTCTATAATGATTTTCAACTGTTTTTGAGTTAATAACCAATATTGATTGAACTTTGACCAGCCCGTTTTTGCATGTAAATTTAAATTTAGAGAAAAATGTTAAATACAAAAGTTGTAGATGCTAACGTCTAGTTTATTTTAAGATAATACAAATTGATACAGGGTGTCTCTAATTCAAGTAGCAGACCAAACTGACCTTTTTTAAATTGGAAGGCCGTACTTTTTATTGCATATTCGAGCTATTTCTAAAATTCTAGGTCCATTCCATATAAATGTTGTACAGTGATTTTCAACTGTTTTTGAGTTAATTAACGATATTGATAGAACTTTGGCCACCCCGTTTTCGCAGCTAATTTGAAATATACACCAAAATATCATATGAAAAAGTTGTAGATATGACATCTAGTTATTAACTCAAAAACAGGTGAAGATCAATGGAATTTTGCGTAGTTCGATTATGAAATAACAAGTGCGCAATTCTGTTTAAAAAAATGTACGCTTATACCGCCACTTGAGTTTGAGACACCCTGTAACAATTGGTAATCTTACAATAAACTAGATGTTAATATCTACTTTTGTATCTAATATTTTTCTCTAAATTTCAAATTAGATGTTAAAACGGRGTGGCCAAAGTTCAATCAATATTGGTTATCAACTCAAAAATTGTTGAAAATCATTATAGAACATTTATATCGAGTGCGCGTAGAATTATGCGAATAGTTCGAATATGCAATAAAAAGTGCGGCATTATATTAAGAAAAAGGTAATTTTGGTCTGCCACTTGAATTTGAGACACCCTGTATCAATTGATATTATCTTAAAATAAACTAGACGTTAATATCTACAACTTTTGTATCTAACATTTAACTCTAAATTTCAAATTAGATGCAAAAACGGGGTGGCCAAAGTTCAATCCATAACCCTGTACATAAAGCGTTAATTCTTAAACCATTAAGTGGGATAATTGAATGATTTAAATGCATARGTACATGTTGATAAATAAAAATAAAAAAATAAAAATTCTTAAAATGCTAAATTTTTTCTTAGTTACATTTTTTCCTCTTACTAATTATATGGCTAATGATTTAGAATGGAAAAAATAAAATTTGTTTTACGAAAATTATAAACTATTTGCTGCTAATCTCATAAACTTGTTTGTTGTTTATTTCGATTTTAAAAATATATACAATGCGTTTACGGGTCCGTCCCTTATTTTTAAAGATGCAAATTCCGATAGGTGAGCAAAGCAGCGCAGATTTCGAAAATGCTGAAAACTTCAGGCTATTTAAATACATTTAAATTATTATATTTATTTATCCGTGGTTTTAAGAAAAATTATGCGTTTTTGTAAAAATTGGAATTGGCAATTCAATTGGAAGAAATCAATGCGATACGTTTCCAAAGACCTTAAACTTTTCCCAGATTTCCGCCGATTTTCATTATTTATTCATTTATTACCAACACTTATTACCAAAAGCACTGTTTTGCAGCAAAGTTTGTTAAATCGGTTCAATTTCGTTTTTGAAGTTTTGTACAGGGTTGTTGATTGAACTTTTGCCACCCCGTTTTAACATCGAATTTCAAAATTAGAGAAAAATGTTAAATACAGAAGTTGTAGATATTAACGTCTAGTTTATTTTAAGACAGTAACAATTCATACAGGGTGTTTCAAATTCAAGTAACAGACCAAACCCTAACCTTTTTTCAAATGGAAGACCGATTATTTTCCAGAAATTTTTGCTTTTTCCTTGACCAATTTTTGAAAGATCGTGTCAACGGTCAATCGACTCGTCTTTGTAACTGAAAAAATAATGGAAACATACGCGGAGTACCCTTAGGAAACCCAACAAGTCTTCTACCAACTAGTGCACGAAATTAAATTAGATGCTTTGAACTCAAATAATTCATATTTTCCAAACAACTTTTATACAGACTATTCAATAGCTATTAATTGAATCAGATGAAGACGAATTAATTTTCAAGGAGTTTTCAATCGAATTGTTTGAATTATTTAGTTCTACGTGGGAATTGAGGATGTGAATATTCTACTGGAAGCGCTGATAGGAGTTTATGACATTATTGGAAACACAGTAACTTACGTGTGTTTCCTGAGAAAGCAACGACAAATCCAGGAAATTATTGATGATATTAAAGACTTTTTCCAGTACTGTGGATACGAAACTGTTCGAAAAATTGATAGCGAAATTATGCGCCACACAAAATGTAAGATATTTCTTAACCCAACGTACACCACAATTGAATTATAACAGTATAGAATGTGCCTCAATTTCAACAGAAACTCGTCTCTCAGAAAAAAACGTATATGGAGAGATTTAGAAAAGAAAATTGAAAATCACGTAGTAGATTTTCGTAATAAGTAATTTAAAATTTCAGATTTTTTGTTCTACGTGACAGTCTCTGTAATTTTGAACTTAGCATGGCCCATGTTGTCCGTTAACAACTGCTTAAAATCAAGACGTAAGTATTGGCTACTTTTTAACACATTCACAAGTCACATGGTTTTGTATATTGATGTTAAACATCTGAGAAAGTCTCGTGCAAATAATTTCAGGCTCTGATTTCTACATCAAGCATGATCCATGTGGAATGCCAACTCAGAACTTGTACCCTTTTGAAGCCTCAGAAGGAATAGTGTTTTGGGTTCTGTACATTATTGAAGCGATATTTTGTTATCACACGTGCTGTTTCTTCTCGTTGGCCACCGTTATTGTTATTGGTAAGACGGAAAATAGAGACGCGAAGAAATCGCCAAATGAATTGATTAAATCAATTCACAGAATAATATTCTTGGCATTCTAAGTCTCGCTTCTGGAAGATATTTATATATTTTTTTAGGTTTTTTAAAACATATAACGGCGCAACTAAAATGTTGCGCCTATAAGTTTGAGCATATTTGTGATTATATGGGTTCGTGCAAAAATGACGAAAATGTAATAATCCGGGAATTTGTGCATCTGATTAAATACCATCAGCGCATAATAAAGTAAGTAGTAGCGGTTTGGATTTTAAAAATATTATTTTGTCAAATTTTCATTAGCACAGTCGCAACCAGAAAGAAAATAAAAGAATACATTTTTAATGTGGTTGCATTTGTTGCATTTTTTTACATGCTAAAACAGAGTACAATTTGATTCAAATCTTCAAAAAATCGTCTTCTGTGCCAAAACTAATCGCTCTTTGTAGATATGCTGAAAAAGTCTTTGGAATTTTTGATGTCATGATAATAGTCTACATCGGAGTCACCTCATTCACTTTGGCCATAATTGGGTACCAAATTGCGATCCCAAAAACGAATCTTGAAGATCGCATAAGATATACTATGCTACTGATCGGATGGGTTCTGTTGTTCTACTCTATTTGCTTCTATGGGCAGCAAGTTAGAGACGAGGCAAGTTTCGCAATGATTGTTCATATTTCCAGAGTCTGCGTCTTTATATACTGAGCTGGTAAAATTATATGGATCTTTCAGTCGATGAAAGTAGGAGAAGCAATTTACAAAAGCGAATGGTACCAACACCAAACATTGCTTGGCATGAAAACCGATATTATGTTTGTAATGAGACGAACTCTGAAACCTCTCGATTTTAAAGCTACACTTCTAGGAGAAGTGTCCCTTATAGTATTTGTCGCTGTGAGTGGGTCTGGGAAAATCCGAAATTATTTCTCAGTTCTCTATATTTTTTTCAGGTGATGAAAAGGGCTTATCAACTATTCACCCTTCTGCTGACTGTTACCGAAGATGGGCCTTAAGGGAATCATTTAAATTTATTGATCGAAAATTGAAGTAAAATGGAAAAAGCTATAAACCTTAGCGCACTTATCACATAACATTTCTTTAGGAGTAGGACGAAGCAGAATAATGAGCACTGTAAAAATAATAAACTATTGAAGCATAAATCAGAATTTTATTTAAGTGCTGATTGTGTATACAACTGTGCGATTTTCGGATCTAACATTATTGGATATACTAATGCGAGTCAGTGAATTTTTTTGCATTCTGTGGCATACAATATATAAAAAAGTTTGACCTCAAATAGATTCAATACCCATTAACTCGATATTTTAATGCTATTTTTTCTTAAGTTTTTTTGAATCCTTCTAATTGTGTTGAGATTAGCATGGTTAGTGTGTACGGTTACTCGTCATCGGTGACTGCAAGAAGAAGGGTTAGTCCTGAGTAGGCGCACTTCATCACCTAGTGGAAACAAAAAAACGCTATAATTTTTTTTTTTAATTGAATTTGATATGTATGTACAGCATTGATTTTGAGACATAACAAAATGAACGTTTTAGTTATAATAGTTGATACAGGAAATAATAGATATTAGCATAAAACCACAAATAAGAAAAATGGGACTATTTTATATGTATGTTTCCGAGCTTCTTGGGTCGGAAACAATCAATTTAGCACGAAAAATTTGGATTTTGGACCGACATTTTAAAAAGCGGCAAAATTTGATTTTTTTTTTTTATTGAAAATTCCTCAAAATGTCTCGAATTCTACATCATTTTCATCACATGACAGTGAGCAATTGGAAGTTTTATATGAAAAACACCCAAGAAGCTTTAGATTTGAAGTAAGTAAGGTTTTTGGACTATTTCAAGCGGTTCTTGATCGGTCCCGAATTATCATCAGTTATTAAACTGACGATTTATTTATGATATAAACTCAATCATGTTATATATTCATATTGGGAAACTTTATAAGTCGGAAGCAATTCATTGAGCTCCTAAAACACGTATGCAAAATTTCGATTTTTGACCGAAAATTTCATGAGCGGTAGAGCTTATTTTTCCGAAAAATACCAAGTCTCACATAATTCAACTCAAAATGCTCTGAATTCGACAGAATTTTCAGCTTAAAGAAGCATGAAAGTAAAGAAACTCATAGAAAAATTCGCCAGAAGAAATATTTTTTAACAATATCAATACAATATCTTCTTTATTATAGACTTACACATTTTATATATGCCTACTGGGGGACCTTCTTAGACCGAAAGCAAGCCAATGAGCTTAAAAAATAATCATTAAAATCTTGATTTTTTACCAACAATTTCATAAGGGGCGGAGGTAATTTTTTTCGAAAATTACCAAATCGCTCAATCGCAAAACTCGTCGATTTCTACATTATATTCATCAGAATGAAGCGAGGAATTAGAAATAGAAAAACACCGCAAAAGCTGTAGATTAGAAATAAGATACTTTTTGTTCCATTCTAATCGGTTTTGATCGGTTGCAATCTTTAACCTGTAATACCTTTTTTATTGTAGACCCAAAATCCCATTTGCATGCTGGGGAGTTTCTAAGATCGAAAGCGATCCATTGAGCTCAAAAAACACGCATAAAAAGTTTCGATTTTTGACCAAAAGCTTCACGCGTAGCAGTAGATTTTTTCCAAAAATACCACTTCCCTCAAGATTCCTTGAATATACATACATACATCATTTTCATTAGCAAGGATCGAGAAATTGAAGAAGCTTATAGAAAGACGCCAAAGACGCCAGCTGTTTCAAAAAAATTGATCAAAATGCTAAACCGAGAGCTGGTGCAAAATCCAAGACCCGTAGTGCGTCCGAGCATTAAATGTGGATCTAACTATGATCATGACTGGAGATGTTCATTTTGCCAGGAAAACCTGTTTTGGTTACCACGACCATCCAAACTAGTTTGGACCAGCGTTAAAAAATATTTGCATGTGAACAAGTGCTTTCTACAAACCAGTAAACATTAAAAAAACGGAAATCGAACTGCAAATGACTCATCCAAAGGGACGACCAAGCGAACAATTTATATCATCACGTTAATCAAAAGTGGAATTTTGGACTAAATTCGCAAATTCTAAATTCGTGGTCTGTTAAGTGAAAAATTTGCTCATTTGCAATTTTCAAAAAATTGAAAAATTTCCAAAAATCGAAAAATTACAAATTTTTTACCATTGAGTTTCTCCTAAAAAAACATTTTAAGTTTACAAAAATGTTGGCGCGCCGCCAAACAATCAGCGCTTCAGGGTTCTCCTGGCGCTGAAAGGGTTACCAAAATTAATTTTGGCCTGCTGAAAACAGCTGTTTTCACAAAACAATTACGAGCTTAAATCCGCAGATAACATTGATAACATTTGTCTCAAAAAATCGCCTTTTCGGCCTTCAAACTCTTATGACTTTCAAGTGTCTCAACCGATTTCCATTTTTCAAAAAAAAAACCAAATGTTAGACAAAATCCAATCATATATAAGACTGAAATATATAGGTAAAGACTGGATCGAATTCGGAAGCGTATTAGAAGAGTTACTTGATTATTGATACTGAAGGAACTGATGCACTTTATAATTATAATAACCGCATACTATTCATAATATGCGTGTTATTCGCGTTGGTGTTTGCCATCATACAAAGTAGTTGTTTTCTTAAATTGTCTGTGAGAACTTAAAAATTATCACCAATCGACAAAAACTCAGCACAAGTGACCCACCCTTGATTGAAAAACACACAAAACACTTCAAATTCGAAAAAAAAGCACAAATTATCCGAGAAAAGTTTTAGTTTACCTACCTTTATGAACGGCATAACAAAGTAAATCTTTAAACCACCCTTAAGTTACCTAACTAATGTGCAAGACAGTTTGATGAATAAAAGCCGCAAAACAATTTGTACAAATAATTGCTGAAATATACTCACTCTCATAAACTGCATTAACGAAATCGAACCGATCATTTGAGTTTTAAACTCTAGAGGTTTTTGTGTTCTGGCTAACGTGAAAATCAATTCAGGTTTCACTTTCAATGCCATTCCATGTTTGTGCCAGTTGCTCTTGAAAATTGAATCTCCCACCTTCAATGCCTAACGCAAAAACGTCTCAATTATTGTTTTCGATTTGTTTACCTTAACTAATGTTTTAATTTGTTCGTCATTCTATACTCGCTTACATGTTAAACCTGTTTCTATATCAGATGTAGAGTTTTTATTGCTCTTTCAATTGATAGTAAAAACTTTGAAATCGGTCAAGCCGTTTTGGAGTTACAGGTTTCTTTGAATTAAGCGGTTTGACTCTCCCACCACCCTTTATTTAACAAGTTAGCAAAAAAGATCATAAGGGAAGTAGTACGGTTTTTAGTGGTCTTTTGACTAAACTTACTATATGTTTACCCATCGGGACAATTTCTGTATAAAATCGACTTTTTAAAATACCGTTTGCAATTACGCCAGCTAGTGGTCATCTGAGAAATTTTAAAATTATTTCCAGCAAATTTTTTTTTCAAGTTTGTTATACATTTTTATTTTCGCTCACTCTACAGCACATACTTTCCAAGGTACAGCCGCTTACCATCCTTATTGCGACACCCTGTATATGCAAGTCCATATTTGGTAATGTTGGCAATATTTATAATGTAAGATGCAGTTAATCGGCAAGTTAAAAATATCGATTTAGAAATAGTAAATTAATCAAGCCAAATACATTTGTGAAAAAACTGGAATATTAAAAATTAATTTAAAAACAATCATATGTTAGATAAATATATAATCAACAAATCGCTAAACAGCGTTTTTAATTAAAATGGTTCATCAGCATAAAAAAAATAAATCATGCAGAAAGAACCTCAACAAAGAAACAAAAAATCGTTGCTAAACATTATGTTGATGATCTGTTTCTTGAGCTTCTTTGCCTCTATAATATTCCTACCTCATCTTGTAGCTCTTGGCCATACAGGCAAATGCTGTAAACTAGTAGACACCAAGCAACAAGAAGCATGGCATATTTAATTCGATCTTGAGTACTGATTTTGGGATTAACTATCTGATATCCAATTACAGCAACTAGGAGGGATGTTAAAGCTATGTAGACAATGATTGTGCTGCTGAACACTTGAAATACCCTTTGAGAATACCTAGAAAATAAAATTTTTCAGCTCATGGAAATAGTTACACAATTTTTGTCCTCGGAAGGTCGATTGGTTAAGTTTCCGAAGGAAACAACTGTTTTGAGTGACCAACGCAATTTGCTCATAGAAAACTTTTTTGCATCGTTTCAAAAAGTTATACGAACTTTTAAATAAAATTGATGATAGATGAATGATCTTTTCGACCAATAGCAGTGCTTCTGAAATAAAATAGCATTTGTTGGATCTGCCCAGTGGAGTAGTGGACGAACTACATTTAAATTTGTATAGGCGCTATTTACCTCGGCTGGACATGTTTCAATATTTGTTTATATCAAACATAGGTGAAGTATTAAATGGGCAATTTTCAATTAAGCGATAAGATGAATTGTAATCAGTGATTAGCATAAAAATATAATATTTTTTACATTTTACTACCCTTAAGTGGGAAAGATAAAAAATGTGGTCTCCTTTTTTGTGTTAAAATAAAGTTTCGATAAAATGGTAAAACGTTACTCATAAAAAAATGTTACGACTTTTTTTTGAAGCCCTTGCATACATAATGTAACAAAAGGCATTCGGTCTTCGGTCATAATTTATTGCTGACCCAGCAAATTCGCACCCAAATTACTAGGAAGTGATGTAGATATCCTTCAATGGAACAATTAGTGCAGTCGGATTAGATTAGATTTTTTCCGGGCTATAGTCCGATAGATGAAAGTGAAATTTTTTATAATTAATTTGGTTTTGGCACTATAACTTTTTTGAAAGTGTCGGTATACTTTATAAGTGACATAAATTTAAGTTCCAAATATTCATAACTTTCTGTTCATTCCTATTTGTTATGTAAAAAGGACTCTTGCCAGATTCTAAATACATTTTTCTTGAGACGTCGGAGATACTTCTCTGAGGCTGTATTTTACTCGTAAAGAGTTATACTACAACGTACAGTAAATGAAAATTTTATTACTGACTGACCAAAAAAAGTTATGGTACCATTTTCTTGAAACAAAACTAAATTAATTATTGAAAATTAACAAAAAGCTGAAATCGACGGTTCTTTTTTATTCGATTTTTGACTAAACTAATGAACGAATTTTAATGTAGTTTATCTGATATCATAGGTATTTTAATACTTAAAGAATAAAACTTTTTTTCAATAGTATCAACGGTTCAACAATTATGAACAAAAACGGGCTTTCGCACTTTCTTTAATTATTATATATATATATATATATATCACAGCCGGAAATCGATCACAAACTATTTTCTCAATATTCTGACATCCTTCCGAACAACTTCCAATAATCTTTTACCATCATATTTTCAGTGCCCGAAACAGGCCTTTTAAAGTCTAATCTGACTGGGCTCAAAATACGCTTCAGCCCGGTTTCAGGCACAAGCCTATATTTATCATGGGCCAAAATAACAGGTGACAAAAAATCACAGATACTTGGAACAGTCACACATGGAACCTGTGACTGAAAAATGCTGGTTTGTGTCATCCCATTTAAAATTTAAATCAAAATTAGTTCAAAGTATCTTTAATGAATTCGAATTACAGTAAAGTCCGCTTATAATGAACCCGGTTATAGTGAACTTTCGCTTAAAACGAACTTTTTTTCTTTAATTGAAACGTCGTCCATAAAGGCCAACGTATTTTTTTACTGGTTATAACGAACACGTTTATAACGAACTTCCGGATATAACAATCACTTTTTAGGTTAGTTGTATATTCACTTTCCGTTTATAACGAACTTCCACGCTCAGCAACATCAATCGTGCGGAGTTGTTTATATTAGTGAGAGCGAGACAGGCAGTGACTTGTTGGTTTTTGTCGTGTTATGTATGTAAATCGTTTTGGAATGGAAAAACAAAAACGCAAAGCTTTTTCACTAAATGAAAAGTACGAGATTATTAACAAAATTAAAATGGAGTAAACCAGAGCGACATTTGTAAGGAATTAGCACTTGGAAAGTCTGTTGCAACAATATGGAAAAACAGAGCAAACATTTGATCAGCGTATGACAAAACAAATGTTAGAAGTAGGAAGTTAAAATTATCTGCACATGAAAAGGTTGACAAG